TAATGGTTGCACCCAAACGAAACCCTTCGACTCAACAAAGAGTGAAGGGGTAAAAAAGGGGGGGGTTGCAAAAACTTGGAAAGACCCTATTTAGAGCCAGTGTTTGGTTTGTTTGTTCTGGGCTACTGTTGAGACACGGCAGCTCAACATCGAGGACCTGCTGTAGATAAAAACAGCTCATTCTAAGGCAAGGCAGGCACCTTTACTAGCCATTTCTGGGCAAAAAATGAATAATAACGATTAGGTCTGGAGCCATAATAAGTATTTGAGCCTTATAATGCTAATTCCTGTAAGCCAGCAGTGTGGTGAAAGCAAACAAATCGGCTCATGCACTTTTAAATTCTTAATTTTCTTTCTTTGGATTTGGAATCCACATTTTAGTTGACAAATGTCTTTTATTCGGAGTGTGATGGTTACATATCTTTACAATTAGAGAATGTAAGAATCACAATTTATCATTTTACAATGATAAATGAAAATAAAAATGTTAAAAAATAACATTAATTTCTATATAGTTTTTTGTCAAAGCCACGGGGAGCCACTGGAGAGGGGCTAAAGAGCCACAGGTTGCAGACCCTGGGTCTATGGTAACGATAACACAACCATTCTTATTTTCAAGTTATTATAAACTAATGAAAACATACCTATAAATATTATATTCCATTTCTGTCAAAAGATCCTCCTAAATGTTACACACTGGACACTGGTACATTATAACCTTCACAAAGGAAGGATTTATTGCATGGCTGATGTATTAGTTTTAGCTAGGTGGCCCTAATAAACAGGCAACTGAGTCCTGAACCATCTCTTAGTTATGCTGCTATAGGCCTAGACTATCGGGGGATTTCCCATGGTGCACTGAGCTCCTCCCTTCCTCTCTCTTTCTGCACTCATTCATGTCCCATTAATGCATGTTACTAACTTCACTTCTTCCCCGGAGTTCTTGTGCTTTCTCGTCTCGCAGGTTCTTGTCGATCCTGGTGGAGCCTCCTGCCATGGTCCTGCTAGATTGCCATTGCCAATACTGTTGTTGCTGTGCACCTGTCTGTCTGTCTCTCGCTCTCTCTCTATCTGCCTCTCTCTCTCTCTCTCTCTCTCTCACCCCAACTGGTCGAGACAGACGACCACCCACCTAGAGCCAAAGGATCTGTCCTAGGTTTCTGCCTTTTAACAGGCAGTTTTTCCTTGCCCTTGTCGCCAAGTGCTTGCTCATGGTGGTACTGTTGGGTCTCTGTAATTAATGTTTTAAAGAGTTCGGTCTAGACCTGCTCTATTTGAAAAGTGTCCTGAGATAACTTCTGTTATGAATTGGCGCTATACAAGTAAAATTGAATTGAACTGTGAAAAATATTTTTATTTATCTGTAAATCTGGTTATGTGAATGGCAGACAGATTCTATTGGCAGACATAGATACGCATTTTTGTATACAACACGTGTTAAGATAAAAGGCAAGAAATTAACTAAAGATGCCAATGGAGATAGATTAATTCACCCATACACAGCATCTACAGGCTCAAACAAGTGTTTTTTTCATTTTTTAGCCAACTAACAAAATTGTACATACTACATAATACTCTGGAAAATGGTTGTCAGTATAGTGTAAATGGTTCCTTGTGACTGGACCTTAAACAAGCTTTCCATTGTGGTCACTCAACTCATTATGTAATGTAACCATGTAAGCAAGAGGTACCTGGGAGCTGCCTGTGTTGGTTACTGTGGAGGGCAAGCTAGGAGCTTTGGTGCCGATCTCCTGAAGACTGAAACTTAGGCCTTGTAGCAGACTGCTGGCGGAAGGCGCTGCACACAAACAAAAAGAAAGTGAATCAATGGGACTGAAATGTAGGTGAAATCAAAGCCAAATAAATATTACCCCCCCCCACAGGCCTAAACTAGATGGACACACATGCACGCACACGCACACACACACGCACACACACACACACACACAAACAGACCATATGAAAGTCATGTCTAAAGCTTAAGGTTTGGGACAGCGACACACAGCGATGGCGCAAGAGGTGATCAATGATGATGTTTGCTTGAATATATTGTCCTCACACACTGTTCTTATCCAGTGTTTGAACTATAATGTCACTCTAAAAAGCGGTTAGAACTGCACTGTGTGTTGAGGCTACTGTGCTGAGATTAGCTGCACAGAGTGCAAACAGGCGTGCAGGGCAGGAGAGGACAGAGATACCTTGGGCAGTAGCCGGAGCTTGCGCCTGGACTGGTGTGGAGGACCCTGACACCATACAAGGCTGCACGCTGTTGAATGAGCTGGAGCCTGGGGACAGGGCACCAGACATCTCTGAGAGACTACCAGACCTGCAGTGACACACATAACCACCAATCTACTCAGGTGCTAACCCAGCAAATGCTGTTTGGCCATCACTCAGCTCACAAACTCCGAGTACACCACTCATCAATCCCTCTGCACCAGACACACATTTGTCCAATAGGGTGGGAGTGGGCGTGGGTGCAGGCATGGTTAGGGGTTTAAGCGCTCTACACTGAATGTGCCTGTGTGTAGCAGGACAGGCTAGCTTACCGCTGGCCTGTAAGAAGTCCAGAGAGCTCCTTGGCTCCAGCCACAGTCTGTCCCACTGTCACTGTTAAGGGCTTCCCAGAAACACCCACTGCATGGAAAAAGGATCGTATCATGATGGTCTGTTATGTAACTTTGAAAAAAAGAGACACTTCATATGGCCGTTCTTTAGAAAAAGGCTGAAACAATTACCAGGCTCTACTAGGTAGTTATGCAATACAGGTACCATAGTTTTTCAGGAATAAATGGTTTTCTACTTTCACTTTTGCAATACTGTGAACCAAATGAAAAACATGTTTCTCTTCTTATCATTCCATCTAGAGATCTGTATGAAGGTTAGCTGCTCAGAATTTCAGATTTTCCCTACACTGTCTGCCCTCTACTGATTTTATCGATTCACAAGACAACAAAGAACCGTATCCGTTTACTTAACAAAAGGCCAAAAGGCCCAGGCACGATTTCTCAATGTGTTAAAAAATGCAGAATGAATCCTCCAATGTATATATTAAACTACTGCTTATAGATTCTCATACACAAGTAATGAAGTAAGGATACCCATTTCTGTACCTTCCTGTGCAGCAGGGCTGATAGTGCCCCCTGCTGACTCGCTTTGGGAAACAATGGTGACCTTGATCTTGGCTCTCTTGGAGGCTTTGCTTGGCGTAGGACTAGGAGTCTGCCTCCTCTTGCCATGGGACCTCAGTTCATCTCTGTCCAGGCCCTCCATCTGATCACTGGTCACTGGCACTGCACAAACAAACAAACACACATACACATAAGTACACATATTCACTACACTGCTGAGATCACTTGAACCTGGGCTGTTTTATCCTTCTGTAACGCTACCATTCATTTAAAATCTTTTTTTAAAGCTATTTCCTATTGTCATATAATCCTGCCTTTAAAAAGTGCTCAGCAATACTTTAATTTAAAATAAGTATTTTAGTATGTGACATTAATATAAAATTAGGGCAATGGAAACAAGGAAAGAAGCGAAAAGACACAGAGGAAAGAGAAAGGAAGAGGGACAGACACTTACCAAAAATACAAGGAGGGGTGCCAGGAGGAAGATTTTTCCTCACTAGCATGTTTTGTTTCATAAAAGCAGCAAACTGAGCTGGAATGAATCGGAAAAAAAGCCGGAAAGGAAAGTTGTAGGAAGAGAAGAGACAGAGGATGAGAGGAGAGTATTTCAGTCACGTTCCATCTTGCCCCCTCAGATGACGTGACGTGATAATCTTTTAAAAACGTATGCAATCAGTTTCACATCTCACATACCACCCCGTCTGCCTAGCTGGGACAGATTCTTGCAAAATTCAGCAGAAGTTACGGTGAATGACCCATTGTGACAAGTTTAGATAAACAACTGGGGTGGATGTGAGAGTTGTGTTTAAACACAGGTATCATGGTTCACTGCACACGTGTAGGTGAGCGCTCAATGTCGGGTGTTGTGATGAACTAACCTTGAGCCTGCTTGTGAGTGAGTACTGTGCCAGAGCGCTGCATGTGTGTCTTGAGGAGCTGCGTGGCTGTGATCAGACTGGACTTCTGTGCTGGAGACAGACCAGACGTCTTGGGTTTGGGACTTGAGGTGGGACTGCTACAGACACTAGACAGATCCTGAGGACACAGTGAAGAGGAGAAACACCCGATGAGTAATAATTTGTAATACCTATTGCTTTTAATACACATTCAATATTATATTTTGATTTGAAGACGATTGCAGGCAGCCCAAATGAGATCTGTATATTCCTCTCAAATGCAGTGTACAAACCATTAGTATTATTATAAATGAAAACCAAAGAATACATGAGATACTTGCCTCACTGCGTTATGAACCAAATGCACAAAAACAAAGACACATACTCTAAATAAGAAAAACAAACTGGGGTCCCGACTTTCTTAAATCATTTTCCAGACATTTTTCAGCGATGTAAAGTTGGTATGGCAGACATGTCAACACCAAGGCACCAAGTTTCTTTGAATTTCTCATTCAAACCACTTTGCAGATGTTAATCCTGAATCTTGAGTGGAGGAAGTGAAAACACGTCATAAAAAACTTGCCACCTTCAACACAATCTTTGCACTCAACATAAATGAGAAAATGTGAAAGCATGTCAGTCCCTTTTGAGGAAGACAATGACAATGATTCCCATGATTGGATAGCTAGTCTAATACTTCCTCATTTTTGGGGATACAAATTAAACAAAGCCACCATTAGATGTGATATAACTGTATTCAATTATTATTCCATGTAGAAACAGAAACATTACTTTAAGTACTGGTTTTGGTGGTTCATCTGAAGGTTAAAATAAGTGGCACTTCTAACCCTTTGAAAATGTTGGTAACTGTAGCTGCTGTTAACTGACCTCTGAACCTGATGGTGAGATGGGAACTCTAAGCGCGGGGGAGGATGGTCGTCCTCTATCCATGTCAAAGGGAAGCTCCCGTCGAGGTCTTTTCTTCTTTTCCGTGTCCATGTCTCTCATCTCTCCTGAGCCATGGCCGTGGCCCTCCGCCCGTGTGAGGACACCTGACAAGAAGTCAGCTATCTCATCCTGCAGATCGGTGAAGAAAGAAGATGAAAAAGGTACTTTAGAGCATGAGAAACCCTCCAGACAAAACTGTGTAAATTGAGCATTTACACTGAAAAGGGCCAACCTGAATGCAGCGGTCCACCATGGTCTGTGTCAGTCCCTCTGACTTCATCTTTGCTGAATTGATTCTGTGGAGGGAGACCATTTAGTGTTACTATTACTTCTGAATGATCCTTATAGTCTACTAGAAAGAATATGATATTACATGATTTCTACTCCTAAAACCGCAGATCGGAGGGTGTGACTGACCTGATGTTGTCGTCTGCTCCTCCCACCACTACCATGCTGTTGTCGGCCCTCAGCTTCTCTCTGAGCTCCTCCATTCCTTCTATGCTACACTGCAGAGCATTTTGGCCAACCACAAACAACACTGGGGTCTTCATGTCCAGCAAGGGGTCATCCACATCCTGTCAACAGGGAACACATTAACATTCACTACAATTACTGACATGAAAACAAGAGTTGTTTTCTTAGTAGAAATGAGGAAACAATATAAATATTAACATATGAAAGTAATAACGTATATCATTGGAAGATAAAGATCTTACCCCTCGTGGCCCGTTGACTGTTAGCAGGGGGAAGCCGAGACACACCACAGCGGTCAGATACTCCATAAGGGATACCTGTAATATATCAGTATTAATTAGTCAAATTATTTGCATTATTTCCAGGGGTGAAAACCACTTTTCCTCACATTAGATCACTGTGATAGGTTATAAAAAGTCTTACGTGACAAGCAATGAGAGCACCAGCGTTCCAGCCGACCAGAATGATGGGTTTGTGTGGAAAGTGACTGTGAACCTGTTGGTTAAATTTATAACACATGATCAATACAGCTGCAGTTATGATCACTGAGGTGTTAAAAAAAACTGCTGAGATGAGACCATTTGTGTGTGGTTTAATGGGAACATTAGGGTTGTAACTAACGATTATATTCATTATCGATTAATCTGTCGATCATTTTCCCAATTTATCGATTAGTTGTTTGGTCCATAAAACGTTGATCACTGTTTCCCAAAGCCAAAGGTTACCACCTCAAAAGTCTTGTTTTACCCACCACCCAAAGACATTTGATTTACCATCATGGACTAAAGAAATCACTGTCAATAATACACACCATATATATACATTGCAAGAGCTTAGAAACATAAACAAGACTGAATAATGAAATAAAAAGCAACTTTATTCTGACCCGACCAACATCAATTTCACAAACAGTATTATCACACTGCAACTACAGTCACATAGACTATGTACTAAATAAAAACTGAACATCCTACCTCCATGACCTTGGCCCTGACAGTGCCTAACATGTGCTCTAGGCACTGTGTAATGCCAATATTTGCTCCGCTGTTGACATGACTGTGCACTGGGATGACCTGACAAAGAAAAGTATCTGTTATAGGCACTTTTCTTAGACTCATAAAACCTTGAAATCTTTGTTAACACACATAGATTCAACTGAGTGAGACTTGAGACCTTTCCCAAACAAGAGAGCTGCGACTGCCAGAATCTCATTCGCCGCGAGGTAGAGAGGGCAGGATTGGTTGGGCTTGATGGTGCAATTAGGATGAGTGGGGATCCAGGAAGCTTGCTCTGAAAAGAAAACAGAGAGGGACCTGGTCTTTAACTGTTACAGATCATGAAGAACAAAGTTTAATATGCTTTCTATTACAGAATGAGGTTGGTTAAGTGTTACCGGTTTGTTTTGGGACAGGACTCCGACAGCTGGGTCCCAGGGCCGTTTCAGTAGCAGTGACAGGGCCTCTGCACTTGGAGCGCCAGTCTTTGCCGATGTAAGCAACATTCTGTCAATCAGCAAGGGCAACTTCCAAGACACAAAGAGGAACAGTAATGAAACAAGAATCCTAGATCTTGCAGATAATGGTTCAGACGTCTAGAGACAAGCATCATACCTTGCTTTTGAGAGTCTGCAGCACATCCAGGTAGGCAGCAAGCATGGCAAGGCTTAAGGATTCAATCATGGTAGTGTGTAACCACTGTGTCAGTTTGGTGTCCCAGTTCACACTGGCTAATGCATGCCGCACCTTCCTGGCACACTTGTCCACAGCTATCCTCCGCAAAATTGGCTCATTGGAAGCCTAAAAGACACAAGATCACACAAGAGACTCAGTAATATTTATTCAATTACAGATTATTCACAGCCATGCTGTAATTTAATCTGAGGCACCCAAAAATAAGTACTGTCATATCAACAATGCACATTTACAAATTTGGCTTTAGTTACACATGTGACATTATAGGATGACGCTTTGCTTTAACTTTAAAAAGGTGAAACTCAAAATGGTGGTATAAACATCCACATTAACTGACATTTAGTAGTTGACCAGCTAACCTGTTGAATTGTTGATAATTAAAAACAACTATATGCATCATAAATCCAGACTATAATACTGATTTTGGCCAATATAGAATTAGTGTAGAGTCAACATTTTATAATGTCATTATTGATCTACTCTCTTACATCACGGTCTGTCACAAGACCAAACCAGACATTTTAGTGACAAAAAACATGTACTGTTGATACTGGTTACAAAGTCTTTCTCTGGCAAAATTATATGTGTTTACTCTTAAATGAGGACACTGTTGCACAACAGCCTTCGATATATAGTTGCACTGAATGACGGCTGACAATCATCCACGTCCGTCAACACAATCCAACAGAGCAGTGACGTAAGCTATGTAAACAACAGAGTCCAAACAGTCATCGATGCACAACATTTCATTTTACAGTGCCTATGTTATTAAACCGGGGGGGTGCATACACACTGCTGCAACTCTATACTAAGCAGTGCATATACACAACCGATAACTGGTGATTTCAGAGACGTATACATTTTTAAAGATTTAAATCCAGCACTCACTAATGGTGCAGAAGAACTTACACAATGTCGTAAATTGTAAAGCTTTCGATAACAGAACTAGATAAAATGATCACAACTTACATTTTCATTGGCCAGGCGAGCTAGTCTTTCAGCTTGCAGAGCTTTAAGAACTTTATTGAACAGTTTGTTTTGGGCCACCGACCATCCGGTCCTGAAAAAGATTAATGGTAATGTCAAAACAATGCCAAGATTCTTTCAACCATTACTTACAGCTATTTTTGATGAATACAGGGGTCAAGTAAAACAGCAAATGTATGGTGAATCACTCCAAATGTTTGATTACTTGTTTATATGTTCTTCCCAGTCATCGGGAGGTGGAGGGCTCTCAGCAACTGTGCGAGCAAACAGGACATGTCGCTCACACTCCTTCATAACGCTAAGAGCTTTCTGGTTATCATACAGAGGAATGGGTGTTGGTGTGACCGTTTCCACATCTATTAGAGAATCCGCGTCTCTGCAGACAAAGAAAAGAAGAAAACAATGAAGCGATCGAATTGATCAATAGTGGATTCATTTTACTAGAGCTAAGAAAGAGAGTGGGAGGCTAAGGACAATTGAATCTTGATATCTAGCTCAGTTACAGATTATGATGAGGAGCTTTTTGACTCACGACAAGACTTCAGGCTGACGGCGAGAGGTAACAAACAGCGTCCTCGTGGGCCGGGCACTGCTGGCATCCGGGTGGGCATTCCACGGCTTGGCATAGCTGTGGTCCAGAAATACCAAATCCAGCTCTCTTTCATGAGCAGACAGCTGGAAAAGCAAGGATGTGCCCATCTTCCTTGCCGATAGCTGGAAGTCTTTATCCCCACCTCGATACATTCTCGTCCTGGGCCCCAAAGGGCCCTGAGAAGGGCTCAACGACTTCAGACCAAACTGGCGAAAAAGAGCCAAAATGTATTATTTGAGATGAAAAAGGAAACAACAAACAAAACAAAAGTGGTGCATAAAGGTTACCTGAACGCCTTAAAAAGGCACACTGCTGATTTTAAACATGAAGACCATTTTATCATTCATGAACAACCCAATTCAGAGGAAGAGCATTGTCCAATCTGATATAATCATGGTTATTGATTGATACTGATTGATATTGACACTGCCAGAGCTAAAATTATGACACTACAAAGCAGCAAGTGTGATGCTGAACATAATCTAGAGCTGGGAAGTTATATAAGTAATTGTATAGAGAGAACAAAAGCCAAAACATTACTGGTTCCAGCTTCTTAATTGTGAATGTATGCTGGTTTACTAAACTCTACTACAGTAAATAACACATGTTTTGGGGGTTTGGACTATTTAAAACAAGACATTTAAAAAAGTAGACTTGAGGAAAGCGACGGACATCATTCACTATTGTCTGGAATTGCATAGATTAATCGATTAAACCGCTAATTAAGATACAAGACATAGTGTAATCTGACGTTACAATATGCAAGTGCTTTGTCAACAGTGAGCACCACCCCATTACTGCCATGTACAGTATTGTTAGCTCATATATTAGCATTGCGCTGTGCTGGGTTGATTACAACGTTTAATACAACTCATTAACACATCGGTTACCTGTAATAACTAATAAAGGTGGCTGATAGCTCGATATTAATCATTAATGTTAACGCTGTGCAGACGGACTGACGGACTGTGGGCTGGCCTGGCGTGCTAACGTTAGCATAGCAAGCTAAAAGCTAACCGAGGCCACCGCCGCTGTGTTTCTCACCTTTCCGCTTTTATTTACTCCATGTTTGTCGTGAGGGTTTAAACTCTTCTTTAGAGACAAAATAAGGCCAGAGAAGGACGTTTTTTTTGTTTTGTTTTGTTCTCGGGAATCTCTTGAGGTTGTAGTAACACAAATTTGTAGTGCGCACAAGCCTCACTTCCTTTTGTTGTGAGATTTGTTGCCTCGTTTTGCTCCACATCCCCCTTTCTCCGGGCAATATGAACAAGTGAATTCAGCGCTGCATTCCCACCGAACTGGCAACCCAGTTTGTGGCGCGTCAGTGAGTGGCGCAAAACATGGACTGGATTACAGCGTGAATCTGGATCATTTACTCTCTGAATTACTTTAAAAATGATGGGTGAAGTTGCCCCATTCAGTGTGTTGTGTGTAAAGCTGTTTTAATAAAATAATCCAACTTTTCTTTTGTTAAATTTGTGTAAAGTATTTAGTTCCTCAGGGATTCCCGAATGTTTTTATGTCAAGGACCCCCCACAACAGATACACATTAAACGAATGACTCCCAATTTGAGATGATTTTGTCTTAAGGAATCCCCCTCTGAGTAATGTTTCATATTTAGTCTTCATAGTCAATCCGATCCAAACTAAGGCTACATTAGGATCACTATAAATTACAGCCAGTCCTGTTACTTTCCTTGTTGTTCAAACCTACAGAAAATGTAAAAAGAAAAGGTTAAAAGATTATTTTCTATTATTTTGCTGGGGACCCCCCTACAACCCTCCCAACAACCCCTGGACTCAAGTTTTCACAACATCACTAGAAACTGAAAGGAGAAGAGATTTATTTTTTTGTCAAATCTTAAAACTACTTTAACTGTTTATTATAAAATCCCTTTTTTGTTGCTGTACATTGTATGTTCCACTTTTTCTGTAAAGACAAATTCAACAGTGACCTCTTTCAGTAAACTAACCAGCTCTTCCCTCCCCTTATTTAATTCCAAAGGTCCCTGCAGACGCACTGTTTAAAAGACAGAGCGCTTCATAAAAATACAGTAGGCTGTATTTTAACTTCTTACCTAAACACATTACAAACCGGAAAAATCTGACTGCCATCATGGTGAGTTTCAAAATTGCTGAGTTATGAAATTGTTTGTTGGGTGCAGTTTTTGTGTTTTGACAGGGTAAAGTAATGTATATCATCAAGGTGAAGAGATACAATGTGATGTTTATAGTAAATAAAAGAGGTAATAACAAATTTTGATGTGTAATAACAATATGATTAAGTATGCCATTTTCCTGCTTTTTACCAAATGCATGCTTGGATATGTATCTGTATTCCGTATGCTTGAGATCAAATATTAAAACTATGATGTTCATTTCCATTTACCTTTGAAGAAATATTTGGCTTTGGCTCTGCTGCTATGTGCTCTGCTCTCACTGTCAAACGCTCAGTGCTTCACAAGGATCCTGAAACCAGGTAAAAGAAAAGAAAAAAAACAACAACACACAGACATACAGCATACTCGTGGTATATACACACAAGTGTTCTTCATCAGAACAATTTCAACAAGATTAGCACGAGATGCTAAATTATGGCTGTGCTGAAAAATATTTACCAGCCCCTTTCCACACATAGGCATGACCCACTGTCAGGATAATGTGGATAACACATGGCATGCAGTTGGATCTTCATGGAGAAACAGTGAATGCATGGACTGTTCTTGCGAGGGATGTTGTGCTGGGTGAGTACACAGATTACAACATTTTCATTTTTTAAGGGGAATAAAATGTATTTATCTCTGTATTTACATATCCTGCTGTTAACTGTGTGTTTACTGTGTGACTGCAGGTATTCAACCCCCAGGCAGTTCCCTGACGACTGTGTGTCAGTGTTTGACTCAAAGGCATGTCAATACATAGTGCACAAGAAGGACGACCCCACCGTAGAATGCCCAATTTATGCTGCAGTAGGAAAGTGATGGGGTGGTTTGAAAGCCTGATTCTTATTTTTTCTTGTTGTTGTTGTTGTTGAACTGGGGGGGCATGCAGATGTATGTGCCTGTCATGTTGGTTGGAAATTAAAAATAAAATACTGCTACAAATAAAAAAGGAATAAATAAATAAACCATACATGATTTACTCCTTTTTTGCACACCTTTGTTTCTATATACAAACTGGAGTTGTGGGGTATTTAGGAGGCAGAAGCAATCTCACAAAAAAGACACAAAGTCAAAATATCTCTACCTCTCCAGCTTATATTTTCACCATTCATGAAGTGAATGAATTGCAATCTGCAACTACACTGCTAAATTCCTCATTTATTCCACGATAAATACTCAAAATTTTGTGTCCCTTGTTGTAAAGTGTTACCACATTTGCTGTGAAAGTACGCAAGTAATGTGTGTATCAAATTTCAGGGCAATCCATTCAACAGTTGTTGAGACATGCCACATGACTAAATCACAGACGTCAACCTCATGGTTGCCCTAGAGCAGTGGTTCCCAACCTTTTTTCCTTAAAGCCCCCCTTGCCTGTGTCCAAGACAAGTCAGGCCCCCCCAACCCCGTACAAACCCCTACCCGCATACATGCACTAAATAGGTAATAAATAGCTTAATGAATAGTTAGGAAGAGTCAGAGGATGAGTAGGAACCATTAATGTTTGTATACAATTTCATGATGATCCATATAGTAGATGTTGAGACATTTCACTGAATAAGAGAAAACTGTGACCTGCTGGGAGTGTTTAATTAAAAGTCATTAAGATTTATTGAAGAATTTGCTGGCAATCACTCAAAGTTAAGCTACGTCAGCCTTGACCAAATTGGTGGACCGATTAATTTCCATCTCTAGAGCCCTGCTGCTTGCCTGGCTTAACATAATAGTTTAAACATGTTGCAAGAGTATAGATTTACTCAGATTGTGGTATCAAACCAAACTTTTTTGAGGAAAAGAATCATTGTTGTGTGCCAAATAAATTGATAATCACTCATTAGATGACCTATAGTGGCCCATCTGTGCCGAATACAAACACCATTTCACCCTGATTTACTGGAAGTTACAGGCAGATAGGACAGATCACCCCTCCCCTCTTGTTTAATTCCAAAAGTTCCTGTAGAGTCTGACACACTTTCCCATAAATATACAGTCTATTTCATGTTCTCACTTGACTTCAAATTCGGACAAGTCTGCTGTCATCATGGTGAGTTTTTATTGTTGTATGCAATGGAGTTTTATCCCAAAACAGCAGATGTTTACTATTTCATATTGGTTTATTTTTTAATCATGAAATTCTCAAGAACAATGTTTTTCATTTTACAGATTGATAGAAGTGAAGTTCTTGTAAAAGGTCTTTAAATTAAAATGGATTGAATGCCTCCGATTGAGCACGTATAAATCATTATCATCATTCTTCTTAATACAGAGACTTGTTATTCATTTTGACCACATACAACTAGCTTTTGGTCTAAATATTAATTCCTGGTTGAAATTTCCTTTATTTTACTGATGAAATGTGAGAATGTAAGAGTGAACAGCAAGCCTGGCTCTGTCCAAAGGTAATAAAATCTGCCTGTTACTTGATGGGGAACAATGACAGGAAATCACTACACCCGATCAAGATACAGTCCAGCATATAATTATGGTATGATTTACTACCCCATCTCTTACATGGGAATGGTGTTAGATCGTGATTGTGTTGCTGTTTTAAGATAGATTTGAAAATCTGTGAACCTTTCCTTTATAACTATGTTCTTTGCTTCTGTGAAGAAATATTTGGCTCTGGGTTTGCTGCTTTGTGTTCTTCCATCACTTTCAAATGCAGCATGTGGGCGCATGAACTTGATATCAGGTAAAAAAAAAAAAAAGGCACACACACACACACACACACACACACACACACACACACACACACACACACACACACACACAAACACACACCATCTGTCTTCATTACAATAATATCACAATCTAACAATGTAGTGCCACATAACGATGGTACAGAAAGTTATTCACCAGCTGCTTTCCACCCATAGACACAACTCACTGTATGGACACTTCAGATTACACATGGCATGCTGTAGGGTCCACATGGAGAAACAGTGAATGTATGGTCTGTAGTTGCGGTCTATTCGAACTTGAATGCTGCGATGGGTAAATACACAGATCACATTCGATTTTCAACAGTAATGGAATTTATTTATACCTGTATTTACATATGGTACTGTTAACTGTGTGATTGCAGGTATGCAACCCCCAGGCAGTTCCCTGATGACTGTGTGTCAGTGTTTGACTCAAAGGCATGTCAATACATTGTGCACAAGAAGGACGACCCCACCGTAGAATGCCCAATTTATGCTGCAGTAGGAAAGTGATGGAGCGGTCTGAAAGTATTTTGTTGTTGAACTGGGTACAGAGGGGGGGGTTGCATGCAGATGTGATCAGAATCAAAATCAGAATCGGAATCCCTTTTATTGGCCAGGTATGTGCACACATACAATGTACATACAACGAATAATCATAAATAAACAGGACAACAAGCTCAACAAACAGACATAAACTACTATATACAGTAGACAGTAGTGCAATGTGGAGTGCAAAGAATGCTGAAATAAATATTTACGTGCAGGTATTTTTTTCTTTGTACATGAAATATTTGGATAAGAATACACATCATGCATAGATATGACTGAATGATGATATTTATGTTTTAAAAAAGAAACTGAATTTAAACAATGAAGAAAATTAAATGTATAGTGAACACATGACCAAGTAGGAAGCACAGCATCCAAATCTTGAAAATAAAATACTTCTACAAATAAACTAAATAAATCATACATCTCCTTGTATTATTCCTTTTTGCAGAACTCTGTGCGTATGTACAAACTGGAGTTGTGGTGTTTAAAAGATGGGTGGTCTAACAAAACACCTCTGCTATTTTTTATTATTATAATTAATTGATAAATAATTATACAAATTTGACTATTACATTTGTTAATGGTCTTTATGAAAGTGCAATACTATATTGCTGGATTACACCTTTAAAGTTCTTGTGTGTAACATTTAGGAGGATCTATTGGCAAAAATGGAATTCATGGGTATGCTTTCATTAGAGTATAATCACCTGAAAATAGGAATTGTTTGTTAGCTTAGAATAAGCTGTTTTCTACAGTCCTTTCAACGTCCACAGAGGTGACCCCCAGCACATATGGCTCATTTTAAAGTAGCAAAAACATAGCGATTCCTATATTCAAGTGATTATAGACTAATGAAAATATTATTAAGTTTCTGCCAATAGAGCTTCCTAAATGTTACTCACTAGACATTTGACTCAACTATAAAACCGACTTGTAATGTGACAACTTGTTGGCAGTGGTGGCCTAAAGGTTAGAGAAGCAAGCTTCAGACTGGGAGGTTGTTGATTGGTTGGTTGTTGGTTCAATCCCTGAAGTAGCACATTGCCACCACTGAGATGCCCTTGAGCTACCACTCCAGTGGAGCTAACAGCAGAGCAGATGTTGGCCAACTTCCATGAATGTGTGCAACTGAGCAAAACAGAGAGGCTTCCTTGAACTTTCCCTGAATAAATAAAGATTAAAACAGTGATTAAAATGTGTGATGTAAGAGAAAGAACCATTGATGTTTGTACAAAAATTCATGGCAATTTTACTGAATATTAAAATTCATCCACTAGGGACCATGAATGTAACAAAATGTTTTGGCAATCCATCAAAGTTGAGATATGTCAGTCTGGACTAAAGTTGTGGACCAGTTGACCAACAGATTGATATTTCCATCACTAAAGCCCTGCTGCTAGCATGGCTTAACATAATAAGTGACGCATTTTGCCAAAGACCGTAGGATGTTTTGATATCATGGTATCAAACCAACCTCTGAGAATAAAACCATTATGTTTTATGCAGTGTGCCAAATAAATTAATAATCACTCATTAGATGACCTATAGTGGCTCATCTGTGCCGAATACAAACACCATTTCACTCTGATTTACTGGAAGTTACAGGCAGATAGGACAGATCACCCTCCCTCTTGTTTAATTCCAAAGGTTCCTGTTCAGTCAGACAGACTTTCCTATAAATATACAATCTATTTCATGTTCTTGCTTGACTTCAAATTAAAAGTCTAATGCCATCATGGTGAGTTGTTATTGCTTAAATATTTTTTTCATTGAGTATTAGAGATATTTACTATTTCACATTGGTGTATTTTTTAATCGTGAAATTCTAAGCAATTAAGTTTTTCATTCTTCCAATTGATAGAAGTGAAGTTTTTCTTCAAATTGCAATGAGTTGGATGCTCTGACTGTGCACATATTAAATAATTAAGCTTTTGGTTTAAATGTTGATTCCTAGATTTTTCTACCCTATCTCTTACATATGAATGTTGTTAGATTGTGATAAATAGTATTGTTTTAAGAAAATATGTGAACCTTTCCTTTAAAACTGTGATATTCTTTGTTTCTATGAAGAAATATTTGTCTCTGGCTTTGCTGCTTTGTGCTCTGCCGGCACTTTCAAATGCAGTATGTAGCAACTATGTATCAGGTAGGTAAACAAAAAGTTGAAAATTAACATGCATACACACACACACACACACACACACACACACACACACACACACACACACACACACACACACACGCAAACTCACAATGTAGTGCCACATAACGGTGGTACAGAAAGTTATTCACCAGCTGCTTTCCATCCATAGACAGGACCCACTGTCTGGACCAAGTTGATAACACATGGCATGCTGTAGGGTCCAAATGGAGAAACAGTGCATGTATGGACTGTACTTGTGGTCAAAACTCATTATGTTGTGTCAGTGGGTAAGTACACAGATCACAACAACAGATTTTTTAAATAGAAAGAAAAATGATTTATCCCTGCAATATATATTCCACTGTTTCCTGTGTATTTGCAGGTTTAGAAACCCACAAAGATTCCCTGAAGACTGTGTGAAAGTGTTTGACCCGGTGTGGTGTGAATACATAGTACACAAGAAGGACGACCCATCAGTACTCTGTCCTGTTCATAGTTTTGCAGGGGTGATATAAGGGTCTGAAGTATTTTTTCCTCTCTTTTTGTTGTTCTCAATCTGTAAAGAGAGAGGGGCATGCAGATGTGATCCCTCACTGTTTTCTTGCCAGGAAACACTGACTGTTTTGTTGGTTAGAACACATAAGCAAGTTCAGAAACGGGCAGAAATTGAAATAAAAATACCTGCCACAAAAGAATCTATAAATAAATTACACATTTCTCATCTCAATCATGTTGTTCAGCTTTTTGGGGAACACACATCTGACTGTTAAATAGTGAGTTGAATTAAAACTGTTCCAGAAAGAAAAGAACCTCATTTAAAGTCCCAAAGACATTTGTGCACCACTTTATAATAAGGTATAAATCACATACTTAGGAAGTACTTAACTAATGCATCACTCATGATTATTAAATTCATGAATGAATGCAGGATTTATTAAGAATTTCTGTTGCTCACCACTAACAAATGAGTTAAAGTCACTATGACATTTTGTGGTAAGTTCACACTTACTATATTATCAGTGAAGGAATGTTAATTCTTAATTGATATTCAACCAAGTTATCAAGATTCTTTCATAAAAGTTTATTTTAGGACAATGCATTTGCTTAAAAAAAATGTCTTCATATTCATATTTCTATGAGCATAAACCCACTGATAATGGACAAATTAGAGGCAAATGATCAGACATGTTTAAGCTCCACTGCTTTCAACAACACAAACACGATCAAAACAATGTATGTTATACCCACTATGTTGTGTTGAAAGGCAGAGAAAATGCAAGGTCCTGAAAAAAACATGAGAAGGAACTAAGAGGAATCCATCTGATTGGTCGCATATCAATAAAGTACTAGAAGACACCTTACAGAGCCATGCTGCTAACATGGTTAGTTTAGCTGTCTGATCTGTCTGACCAAACTATTGCAAATTCTGTCACCATCTGCAAGCAGCTGTTGGTCTTGAACAAAGCATCAGCAGTCTTCAAAGAGCCAGCCATGATGCATCTGGAAGAAAGACCTACTGAAGAGCATCATCACAATAAAAGAGAGACCCATTTTCCTCCAAAGGTTACTTCAGTTACTTTATCTGGTTTCCTGGCAGGGAAATCTTATGAAAACAAACTCTCTTGATTTCCCCCGAAATCAGAGTTGAATTCTTCAGAAGGGTTATCTTCTTAATCTTAAACTGTATAATCTTTATAACTTTTATAAGTTTTTAAGTTATAATAAAAAGGCTATTATTAATTTATAATTCAGTCGACTCATAGTTTGGTTCTGCTTAATTAACCAAATTCATGTCACAGCATTTGTATTATTCCATTAAAGTGTTGGTTCAACATTCTGGTCATTCACCACTATATCTATAATTTGAATTTAATTCTGATTGGTTACTATGTGTTATTTAACCGTTATTTGTATCTGTTGTCAATAAATAATCCCATATATTTTTGTAAGTTGATGTTTTTTTGCAGTGAAAAGTTATCACTGATTAAGACTCATGTCAAAAAAAAAAAAAAAATAACTACATGAACTTCTGTTTTTCAAAATGAGATTATTATTGTTAGCATGATTTAATGTCTTATTTGAGCCTTTATTATTGTCTTCCAAATGATACATACAGTTTTTGCTTTATTTTCTGAAAATAAGGTTTAATTATATTATTATAGAATTCTACACTATTTAATGTTATAATATTGTCCCTCTTAAGAAAGACTGGATTAATCTTTATTCCACAGAACAATATCAAGTTTGGCAATATGTTGACTTGTTTGTTACATGTTATGAATATGAGTGGGAGGTCTTTTGGTGAGCTGGAGAAATACTTGAATTGAGAAGAAAGACAACTTCCAAATCTGAAACAAAATGAAAAATCACAAATCAGATCTACCAAAATAGAAATTTTGTTTACATGCACCAGACCGTGCTGGCAGGTGATTGGAGAGTGATAATCAAATACAAATATTTGTACACATATTGATTGTCTCAAAATGCGAATACAAAGCAACGTGCTGTTGCCGGTGAACAAACTCGACAAACCATTATATTACCAATAAACAGATAATCAACCTTTATTGTTATCTTTCTTTGTTTGCTTTTTAGTGCTGAATCTCAACATTTTATAACCTCTGTGTCTGGAAACATTTATTCTTTCCACTGACTATTGCAGATAAATGTCATCAGCAGGGGTGTCTTACAGCATCAGCCAATAGGAACTTACCAGTGATGTAATTTTAAGGGACTTATGGGGATCACAGTTATGTAAATCACATATGACCAAGCATTAAAGGAACTAAAGAGATATTTTCTGTACACATATAGGGATGTCCAATGCTTCAAAACCACCCCCTTAATGTAATCCAACACAACATCACAACAAACTAAGCCTAAACAATAAAATTAGAAAGGAGTTAACACCTCTTTGACATATTGCTCCAAAAACTGAACATGAGGTAGTATTTATAGCAGTGGCAGATTTGTACAATTCAGTCCACAGTATTAGAGGTCACTGAGTTTAGATTCATACATGTTCAGTGGCAAAGCAGCCACTGGCTTATCACCACCAGGTGGCGGGACAACCCAGCTGATTCTGGTGTTTCCACTGCATTGTCTTCATCACTGTCTTCCTCTCCAGAGAGAGAGAGAGAGAGAGAGAGAGAGAGAGAGAGAGAGAGAGAGAGAGAGAGAGAGAGAGAGAGAGAGAGAGAGAGAGAGAGAGAGAGAGAGAGACTTGAAAATACAAGAAGAGTTTTGCAAAGAGTTAGACAACCAGGGTCTGAGGATCTCTCTGTTGCATGGCCTTGTCATTAACAAAAAGCAGCCAGAGTGGGAGGTTGTGGAGCTTTTCTCATCCTTGTGCAGACCCATTGATGAGAGGGTCCCAACAACAGTGAGACCCACAACACTCATGCTTTCTCTCTCCCCTCCACTCCGACCTTTGAGTTACACCTACTGCCTTCCTTTGGATTATTGCTCTTTTTCAGTGCTGAAGGCGCCCGTGGAGGACTGAAAGAAGAATCTGCAAGGAGGATTAACCCTGCAGCAATTTTTTTAAACTTTAACTTTTTTGAAGTTGGTTTTATTCATCATCACCATCTGTATGAGATTTTCTTCAGCTGGAATAATGCCTTCGTGGTGGAGTAGAAGCTCCTGGTTTCCTGTGGTGTTTGGTGCTGCGCTGGTTGTTCTTACTGCTGGCAATGCTGGACCGAACCAGGACAGGAGGCAGGCTGGGTCCTCCTCATGCTTTGGAGGCTTTGATCTTTACTTTGTTTTGGACAAGTGAGTTACCTGGCACACATTACCTGACACATTCAGAGGGGATGGATGAATAGGATGGTTTATGTTATCAAGTGAAAGTTATTCAGGTTAAAGTCTACGAGAAATATAGAAACAACATATTATTTTTGAATTAGAATTGACTTTTGCATTTAACTCCAAGTTCAACTTGACTTGAATATTTCACTTGTCTCTGCTGAGAGCCTTAAAAATGTATATGTCATGGTGAAATACTCTGTGCATTATTATAAATGCATAGTAATGCATAAAGTAAATATGCATTAGTTTATGTTGTACCTGTGCTTCTCCCACCACTGTCTGCCAAAATGTTTTCATGATGTCATCCCCATTTCTGTTATCATTACGCCCCCTTGTGTCATGTCATGCTGAGAAATTGATGGCTGCACTGATGATGCATTGCTCTGATAGGCCTCGTTCTACATTTCAGCTTGGCATTTGTCTACAGCTGGTAATGATTAGTGGTGTGTTAGGTGTTCCCCCATTCATCAGTCTGCTGCAGGCTGCAAAGACTATACGCAATATAGCTTACTGTTGTGTTTGGTGTTCTTCTAAGTGCATACATTACCTGTTAGATTTCCTCATCCTCTTGGAGTTCTAACGCACTCAGTGTATCTAGGACACAGGATGTTTGGACCTCCTGCAAAATCTTTTGGATACATTGGTCTTGATTTAGAAACGCTTCCTATGTTTATCTAACCTGGTTTTGGGTGATCTCTGTTTTCTTTCAGTCATGCAACATGGGCACAAGAACAAAGTCAGTCAGTAACTTTTTGATGAGACATTATTTAGTTCCTTTAATTTCTTACAATTTTTGCAGTTATTTGGAGGATACATGTGATGCATTACCATGCTCTACAAATTTAGCAAGGTATTAAGCAATCTCATTAGCAAAGCCAGTCAAATGAAAACGGGTCAGTGTCGCACACGAGCTGTGTTTACCAGTGTTTAACTGGGACTTGAAGACAAAGCACTTTATCTTGTAGATAATATGCTCACAGTTCCTCTGGCACTGACAATTAACTTACCCAGACTGTTGCCTTTGGACTGTAACAGAGTACTTACCTGACAATATGTTTTGCAGAGCTGTCTTAAAACTACTTGTTTTATTACTTTTTTTAACCACAAACCAAAATGTTTGCCAACTAGGTAAACAACAAATATATTTTTCAACTTATCATTTTTCTTATCTGGAAGACGGGATTGGAGGATTGCAGTCTGCCATCTCCCTCTCTCTGTAGCTCCAGAGATGGTGATGCATTTTCCAGTTGTCCTACAGTACACAGTCCACCACACAGTACAGTGCCAACTCCAGGCACACTGATGTTGCTCTGAGGGGAAATTAGGCAATAGTGTGTAATAGAGAGTATTTGTTAACGTGAGCCATGTTTTAACGACACAGATTTATATTACATGTGTGACGTGACAGAATTTATGGTCGGGCATCAATTCACTGCATTAGCTGTTCCTTTTCTTTTCTCCAGGTGGGATTGTAGCTGGCTCTGCTGCCTTTTAACAGGGATGTCCTCCACTTGCCCTTACTGTCCTCTTGCAGTATCGCTCTGATCTCTCTTCTCCTCACTTCTGTGTGTCTGCTCTGCCCTTTCTCCATTACGACCAGATGTTCCAATGTTTCAGCCTGTTGGCTAGGCTGTTTGTGCTGGGACTTGTGTCATGGTAACAATGGAAAAATAGGTGTTTTGAGAAATGATGCAGGGGAGTGCAGGGTTATAAAAACAGTTTAAATGAAAGACATTTTGATAAGCATCAACGATGATCCATGCAAGCTCGCAAACTGTTCTTTATTAATCAGATACAACTGTGTATCTACAGATAATTAGATTAGATGACTCTACTGAAAAGCTTCTCTCCTCCTAATTCTTTAATCCCTTTATCTTTATTTCCAAACAACAACAGAGTAGGATACAGGTGACTTTGTGGCTGTTGCTATACAATCCAATAAACATCAAGTAAAAATGTGCACCAGCCCAGTTTGGAGTTCATTAGCAAAGAGGAAACATAGTTCAAGATGTTTAACATCCACACTGACCTAGTTCTGATCATAGAGTTGGTTGGATGAAGGCTTAATGAGGGTACATTTAATTGAAGGTGCATTATAAAGATGTAAACACTAATCTGAGGAGTACAGCATCATTGTGTTCTCACCAGCAGTGCTTCCCAAAGCATTTACTCATGCAGAACTATTCTGCAGGCTCTCACTATTTCCCCTTTCCCATTAGAGATTATTCCGTGGAATGATTACTGACCTTCTGGTTGCATGGGTAAAGATTCAAAATGACTACTTGAGACACAAAACTACTACAAAGGCATGCAAAATGACAACAAAGAGATTCAAAAGGGCCACAAAGAGACCCAAAATGACTCTTTGTGGACATTTTGAACAACTACAAACAACTGCAAAGAAATACAAAACCACTACAAAGTGACATAAAGCAACTACAAAGAGATGCAAAACAAGAATGTATAAGAATGACTACTGTTCATACATCTTCATTGTTAATCTATGGACAGTTATAACTAAATCTTGGGGTTCAATAAGAACCACTGCTTGAAAAACACATCTGCACATTCATTTTGCTTTTCTCTTCTCAGATCTGGGAGTGTGCAGAATCACTGGAATGAAATCTACCACTTTGTTGAACATCTAGCTCATAAATTCATAAGGTAGAAAAAAAGAAAATCCTAATTATGTCATGAGGTGCGTGAGGAAAAACATGTAACATGAAATGATTAACAGAGAATATTTTTCTCTTCTGCTTGCCCCAGTCCACAGTTGCGGATGTCCTTCATTGTGTTTTCCACTGAGGGACGGATCTTGATGAGCCTGACAGAAGACAGGTGGGTGAAGATCCCCCTCAAAACTGCTTTTAATCCCTTGCTTTTCTATCATCCATCTAAAAGGAATGAGTGTAATACCAGATTTGGACGCAGGTCACACACAGTTATGATCCCTCTGAATTTTTTTATTACCAAGAAGAGATTCCAGACAGATACTTTCCTTCACTGTGATCTGTCTGTAGTGTCCTCGGTCTGGACAACTACTTCATGGTGTAGTTTTTGACACATTGTGGGAAGATTATGTGTCTTATCCTTCCTCAGCAGAGTGTCTCAGCAGCCACAAAATATTTTCACTTTTTCACTGCTTCCCTCATGTCTTATTCTGCAAAGGGCTCATTTCCGGTTTATCTGCGTGACAATTTCTCAAGCCAATACACGCCAATACTGTTTCAATTTATTCATCTGTTACACATTGCTAATATTTTCTACAAATGCTGCCCTTATGGAAACTATTATCCTGTTACCACGCCTCACGGTGTCTGGCTTTAGTCAAAAGTGTGTTCACAAATGAATCTGACAAAATAAATATTTTAAGTTAGATCTGATTATCAACAATGTGGATTACCTCGTCATCTGTATGTCTGCTCAGGGAACGCATTCGCAAAGGTCTGGAGGAGCTCCACGGGGTACTTCCTGGGGGAGACACCTTCATGCATGAGGGCATCCTGAGGGTGAGCAGTCTCAGTGCAGTGCATGTCCAACCCCAAGATGGCATCTGCTTTATCTCTGCTCTGTCTCCAAAACAAACACCACACAGTCAAGAAAAGCTAAATGGCTATTGTGTTAAAGCATGGAGGAGTTCCTTTATACACTGCTTGCTACCAGATAGACAGTCTACTGATTCAACCCATCTTATCTTTTTTCACAGGCCAGTGAGCAGATATACTATGGAAACACTGAAGGTGTGTATAAATTTCCTTATGCAGTAAAAATGTCTTAATGTAGGGTAAGCCAAATTTTACTTTTTTCCCAAGATACCTGTGGTTAGGTTTGGGGGGGCAAAACTATAAAATGTTTCTGCTCTGTTTTACCGCTTCATGATTCAAATTATATAACCTACTCACAGCAAATATGTTACCATGAATGCAGGTTTTGGAATTGACTTAACATCACATATGTCAGAAGTGACATAAACTTAATTGTGTCAAAGCTCCAGTGTGATAGGATTCAGTGGCATCTATAGATCCTTCTAATTGCAACAAACTGGCCTTTTAAGTTAGATTTGCGCTTTGATTTGGAATTACTTGGAATTAAAATTAGAGCTATCAGTAAAGCGATTTGATTTAGCCTTGCTACAAAATGGCAGTAATCTAAATAATGGTGCATGGTTATTTGCAATGGATGGAGGAGTGAGAGTAAGAGTGTGAAATTACAGCAGAGGTTGAACAAATTCTTTCTGTCGGCAGGTTATCGCACTGCCAGTGTCATTATAGCTTTGACAGACGGAGAGCTGCACGAGGATCTCTTCTACTATGCTGAGAGAGAGGTAAGAGAGATAAAAAGAGGTTAAATGGGTCACACAAATTATAACCAGATGAAACATATGACTGAGCATGATCAGATCAAACATGGAACCCCTATACATCACCACTTTGATCCTCTTCCTCTGTCTGGAAAAATGGGGTCAGAACGTCTGTCAGATTTATACATCCGAGCCCAGTCAGTCTCTTCACATCTGCGCTGGGATCTAATGATTTATTTGCTCCTCAGAACATTTAGTCACTACAGGTAGAGGCGTGCAAAAGCCTGAGGCTTTAATCAGCTTTGAGTGGCCTCAGACACACGTTGACGGCAGGGATGAAGTGGGGCTGACGTTCACAGAAGCTGGAAATATTTCTCTTGACAGCTGTGAGTTGTCATTTAGTGTCAACACCAAAATCCACAGGCATTATTACTTGGAAATTAAGTGTTTGGCTTGTGTGTTCAATTTAGCGATGGCATCGATTAGGCATCTTTTCGACATTTATATTGTTATATGATGTCTGAATAATGTTATTCACTTGGAAAATGGTGTTGCCCAATTTCTTGTAAAATCTTTTTAGAGGCTGTACAAACAAGACAGTGTTTTGGATGATGTTATGAAGTGCAGCGATGTAATTGAATCCAGGTGCTGAGCTTCTTCCTGTTTTTGCTGTGAATCTGTGCATACCTGACAGGCCAATCGCTCCCGAAGTCTGGGTGCCTCAGTTTACTGCGTGGGGGTGAAGGACTTCAATGAGACACAGGTGCCTATTTTTCACTAAGTTTCAGTCTTTACCTTAATGTCTCATGTCAATGTCTAAGCTTCAGAGAGTGAAATGGTAGTAAGATTGTGAATAAATATGTGTGCAGTTACTTGTGATAGTAATAACTTGTTTCCTCTCTAGCTGGCAAAGATTGCTGATAGTAAGGACCACGTCTTCCCTGTGAATGATGGATTTGAGGCCTTGCAGGGGGTCATTGACTCGGTAAGCATTTCAGTTCTGCCTACAAACGTGTTCAGATATCACCAATACTACCGCTGAGGACTGAACATGATACTTTCAGTAATGTGTCTAAGAGGTCCACAGGAAATCATCTTGCTTTAATGGACTTCATGTAATCTCTCCCATCACATCTTCTTTAATCCATCGACACGCTGATGAAATAGCACACAGGAAACAGGGGAAAACAGGTTTAAAGCACGCTAAGTTATTCCATCCATGGAGCCTGGCCAGTGACAGAATTCCAGGAAAACCTGCCACAACTGTGACTTTCCTGCTTTTGATCATCACAGCTGACATCTGGCCAAACATGATCGAAGTGTGTGCCGTATCCCTTAAGAACCACCTCATGGGTGTTGATTTCATTTTTTGTATTTTCTAACTCGATGAATGAAAAATTAATGTTTGTCGTGAAGGGTCACTGGGATACAAGGTTTGTCGAGTAGAGTTAAAGGTCAGGCAGCTGACTGTCATCTGGAGCAGATTAATAGTGAACCGAAATCTGTTGCTCCTTATTCTTATGAGTGGGGCAGTAGGCCATGAATCAGTCTCCTTCGTCTTTAGGGTTTCAGTTGATATGTTCCTGGGGAGCAGCAGGTACAGATACATCTGCAGAACACAGACAGAGACTAAAGGCAAAAAGGTTAATTAATTGGCACATAAAAGTCATTGGCTGTGGCTAAAACTAGTCTAAAAAAGAAGAGAAGAGATTACCATTGTATCATTGCATTGTGCCAGATAACAGCACTACAATATTGTCCTCAAATAGTAATACTAATGGTAAAATGATTGTGGTTGGTGAGTAGTTTGAGAATGCTCCAACATTTGATATTTGCTGGCTGGGTGCTGAAAAGTGTTGATCAGCTTTGCAATGCCTTCCTGTTCATCTCCTCAGATCCTGAAGAAGTCCTGTATCGAGATCCTGGCAGCAGAGCCCTCTAGTATCTGTGCAGGAGGTAAGACAAGGAAGATTTACCTCCCATTCATCCTCATCAGGTGACTTCATTAATGAAATCAGACTAAAAATTTATAATTTTATTTTTTTATAACAAATTGGGCTTGCACATTTGATGAGGATGATTATCCTACATACAGTAGTGTGTCTTATAAGCAAACTGTTACAAAGTCCCCATAACAGAAATTACAATAGACCAATTTGGAAGAATAATGCTACATAATTTCAATCATAGATATAGAGAAGATGAAAATCAATTGTATTTAACCATGTTTTACGCATCATTTTCTGTAGCAGACTTCTAAAACATGTCATAGGTTCAAAATCCAGTTTATAAGCAGTTCTCATAACAGGAGGAAAAGTCATGAATCAATTTGATACAACAATATTAAATGATAAAAGCTGTTAAAGAACAAACAGGATATTAGGGTTAATAATGACATTATACCAACTGCAGCTACAGTATTTTGACAAAAATTAGTAATTGTGATTGTGAGACCTTTTTTTTGTGGCATATTTCCAACAACAAAATCACTAAAGGCGTTTCAAGGCATTTTTGAAACACTATGACGAGTCAACAGTGGTTGTTGACATGATATACCAACACGATGAGACGTTTGGGTGTTACTTTCTTACTTTAGTTTTTTACATAAATCTAATTCATGGTAAATCTATTTTAAATTCTTGAGGTGACGTTTGTGTCTCTCTTCTCCTCAATCAGAGACCTTCCAAGTGGTGGTGAGAGGAAATGGATTCCTCCACGCCCGCAATGTCGATAAGGTCCTGTGCAGCTTCCGCATCAATGACACCGTTACTAAGAGTGAGTGAAACATCACAGAGCATCTCCTCACTGTCTCAGATTAACTGCATGCAGTGTTTCATCACACATGAGAGTACACATTGACACAGAGCATCAAAGCTGATTGCTCGGTTAATTTACAATAAACACAGCCGGAATACACAGATGAGTGAGCAGGTCATTGTAAAATACATCTAAATTCCCAAAAGTCAAACACAAAGTCCAGCCGCACAGCTGGAGTCCTCTGTGATCAAACAAGGAGTCATGCTGGTGTTACTGGTATCATGGCTTTTTGTTTTAAATAACACATTGGGTAACTTTACAGCCTGGAAAGGAACCAGAAACAAGAGATAAAGGAGAACGAGTACCACACACGAGGCAGAAGGTGGAAAAAGGCCTTAAGGATACAACTAGTTTCCCCACGGTCGTTACTGGTGGCTTACTGTAAAACCACTTCCTAACAGGCATGACACGATAGCTGCAGGAGCTGCTGGTCTAATTACAAAGCAAGATATTCACCAGAACTGAAGCATAAACAAAAGATCTACTCCTCTGAGGGAGAAGTGGCTGTTTCTGTTTCTTTTTAGCTCATGTCAGTCTCCATGTCTCAGTCAGTCAGCTGCAGATCATCATCTTCCCTATACTCTCTCTTTATAGGAATAGGAATGTATTATGGGAACATTTCCTGCCGTCAACTCTCTTTGAAGTTAGTTAGTTAGTTAGTTAGTTAGTTCTAAGTGGTCAGTCTTGGAGTTTAGTGCCATGTTGCATGATGGTTAACTATATTTGCTATATATGCTTTCTCATGTATGTGCTGTACATAGCATGCATTATAGCACACATGCAGTACTTATTAGCTATCCCGAGAGACTTCACTTTAATGGTGGTTGCTTTGGTGATGTCATCAACATCATGCTCTTTAATCCAATTCTTCCAAGGAAGTAAAAAACTATTAATCAAACGTTAATTCCTCAGATTCATAATTGTTTCTGCGTCAAACAACATCCGACTTCCTGCAGACAAACAGCGAACATGGAAACAATTTGAGTAAAATGATCTCCTTATGTCAATCCCAATATACTTATATACTCCAGATACATCCACCTCACTAGATTGTTTACACACAATCCTCTGGAACTTGTTTACCTCACATCAGGGGTTAACTTTAAATGAAAATAATGAGGCCAGGGTTAGCTTGCTCGAAGATGAATATGTGATTGGCTATAAGGAAAACCATTTCTCTTCTCTTGAATACATCTTGCCCTCAGCGACTGCCCCGCTCCAGCCCTCTGCATTCTTTGCAAATATGGTGAAATTGTATAAAGGAAACCAGCAATATGTACCTGCATGTGTTGAGCAGATGAATCGATGTTTGAGTTTGTGTCTCCAGGAAAAAGTAGCAGCAAATACAGTCAGACAGGCTGGGATTTGGCAGAGCCTGAGCTAACCATTGTTCCGGTGACAGATGTTGCAACTTTGGAGCCATCAATGGCAATCCAATATTGAACTGTGTGAATGATGGGAAACAAGACTTTAAAGAAATGTTTCAACATTTTGGGAATTATTTGCTTTCTTGCCGAGAGTAAGATGGGAAGATTGACACCACTCTATTGAAGCTACAGCCAGCAGCTGGTTAGCTTAGCTTAGCATAAAGACTGAAACCAAGGAAAACAGCTTGAATAGCTGTTTCCAATGGTAACTTAATCTCCCTACAACTCGAAAGCTCACTAATTAACACGTTATATGTAATTTGTTTAATCCGTACAACAACTAAACTCCTCTCACGGTGATGACAACACTCCAGGAAATAGTCTGGTATATAAAAATGTTGTACAGATTAAAGAAATGTACCGAAATATTCACATTGTTTTTCATCTGTGAAATTTTTTCACTTGCCTTTCAGGGCTTCTGTGCAGCAGGTTGTAACATGAGAATTATTATTGTCTTTATGCTTTCCTAAGCTCTCCAGGTTGTAGCTTCATATTTACAGAGGTATTGAAAGTGAATTAGTGTATTTTCCAGATACTTGAATTATTCCTTCATATACAATTTTAGCTAAATATGATAAATTCAAGTACTTCATGTAAATTAATTCAACAACTCAAACATGCTGCTGTGTCCCAATAGTCTACTGAAATTGACCTTACTGACAGTCAGTCCCAATAAGTAGTCTCTCAAAGATTGTACTTCTACCATCATCTTAAGCAATAATTCCAAATAATTTACTGGTTAAAGTTAAAGTCTGGGCACTTGTCGGCACCGCACAGTAAAACATGACCTCTCTCGGTGCTTGGGGAGTAAACAATCCAATAAAACATCATGACATGAACTCAGGATGTTTGCCAGCATCTTTATCCTCGGGGGATTTAAACAGTGGAAACCTGCAGAATCAGGTCCCGTCAGCGCTTTACTGGACTTTGCTGTAATTTGTCATTTATAAGGCTCTCAGTCCTTTTCGTCTTGCTTTAATAGTGTAAGGCCAATCTGAGTGCAAGGTGTGGTGCGGAGATGAACTCTGAGCAGGATCATATCTGGGCCAGTTTGTATTGGCGCCGAGCTGTTTTTGGCAGAGCTGCTCCCCCCCTCCCCTCCACCCTGCATGGTTTTCTAGAGAGGAGCAGCCGCGACCCATGCGGCTGCTTGTGTTGATTTCCTCAGTTCTGGGGTATGCACTCCCCCTGCCAGGATAAACAGACAGGCTTGGGCGACGATGCTCATTGGAGCCACTTTCCTAAAAGCCAGCTGGACAAGGAGAGGACCTAGATTTGCCTGAAAAACAAAAGCTGTGCTGAAATAGTGGTGTTTCTGAGAGGGATACAGATGTCTTCATACAGTAGACAACAAAGCACTTGTTTTGAGGAATCGCTCCTCTCAGACAGTTTGTTAATCCAGTTGCAGTGAAAGATGTGACATCATTTAACTTCTGTGAACATGTGCATAGTTTCCCCTCCCTTACTGAATTAAAATGCAGTCAAGCAGCGTTATTCAGCCAATGAACTAATCTCACTGTAATCAGGCTGAACAATGACATAATTTAAAAGGTGATTAAGGTCATGGTTTATGGGTAAAACCTCCTGGTTCAGGAGCTTTATGTAACAGTGAATGCTACTGACTGTTACCACGAGACAAGACTGGAATGTTTGGCTGATTCTCTGTTTTTCATGACCCTCTTTTCCTCTTCTTCTCTAGTGGTGAAGCCTTTGATTGTGGAAGATACATATCTTCTCTGCCCTGCACCAATACTTCAAGATGAGGGGATGTAAGTCCTGTAATTTATTTCAATAAATGTGAGGTTTCATATGACACCATCTACTCTAAGGCACTGCATGAATGACAGCCGAGATATTTTTCTTTTTCCTTTCCAGGGCAGCAAACCTTTATGTTAGTATGAACGAAGGTCTTAGTTTCATCTCCAGTTCAGTCACCATTACTACTGTGGGCTGTGTGAGTATAATATAAGCATTTGGCTTCAAAGCTGTATTATTTTGGGTAATGGTGCTTTTCAACTGCAAAAAACAACAACAAAAAAACAGGCTAGCACTAACAAGAGATAACTAACCAGTACAATTAATACAAACAGTGCAAAACAATCTTAAGAAGATGTCTAAATGATGGATGCAGATTAATTAAAGTATTTCAGCATCAGCAGAATCACAGTCCTTAAGTAGTGATTCCATGGAAGATAAAACCAATAGAGCCTCTTTACAGCACAACGCATTAAGCCTAGAGAAGTGGTTTACATCTTTTTATTGCTCTGCACATTCAGGCAGTGTGTGTTGACGTGTCTGTCTCTGTCACAGTCTGATGGGACCATCCTGGCCATAGCTCTTCTCATCCTGATGCTGCTCCTGGTCTTGGCTCTCCTCTGGTGGTTCTGGCCTCTCTGCTGCACTGTGGTGAGTTTTTTGGGAAACACTACAATACTACAATAATAACATACACACATGCTGCTTTACAGATAGGTTCTTGTCTACTATTTTCAAATTACAGATGGCTTTAAACACTTTTGGAATGCACTGATATTGCTTGCAGACTATAAGACAGAGAGAAATGTCTTTTCCAGGTCTGTCTCATCTGGTTAACGCCCCCTAAGGAATCTCATTAACCTAAACAACATTCCCATGGTGAAAAGGTTAGGGTCTATGAGGCAATACGAGCGTTTGGCCCTTTTGGATCCCTGCAGCTGAATTTAGTCCTCAACCAGAAGAGGTCAAGGCCACCAGGTGAACGCGTGTTGAAGTAATTATGCGGCTGTTGAAATAATTAGCGTTTCCAGAGGTCACAGAAAGTGACCTCCGAGTCTCACCTCTTAGTATATTCACTGGAAGACCTAAACTGGTAATGCTTAACAATCTCTTCCATCAGTAATGGGGCTGAATCATTTGAATTCCAGCTAGTGGTGTGGAAACAAAAGCTCAAATAGGCTGTTTTTGGTTGAGAGTTTTAGAAGCAAGATAACTCACCAGGAATAAAAAACAAAGTATATTTACGACATTCATCTGCTCTGGATACAGCAACAAGAGGAAAAACATGTATGTGCCATTATTTAGGCAGTGGTCGAACTGCCAGCATCACAACATTTCAACAAACACTGCTGTTACCAGCCACTGGTAAAATCTGTATTTCTCCTTCCAAATGAAGAGTGCAGTGTCTCTTCAAAATCAACTCCAATGTTTCCAGCACTGGAAACAGGAGAGCTGAGAATTGCCAGAGAGAGATGTCAGCTTTTACAACATGGCTTTCTCTCCCTTTACTTTTTCTGTTCTTGTCCATTAAGTTGCAAATTCAAGTCTGTGCAGCGAGTGTGTTTAGGAAAGTGATGCTGGGTTACCATGGGGAATCGTTTTGTGTTCCAGGATTTGGAGAAGCAAGGAGGAAAATGACAAATACGAATCAGAATCACTTAATTTGCCAAGTGCATTTAATGTAGAAAGAAACTGTCTTTATTATGCTGGTGAAAAAACACCCTAACAGCTCATGTGGTGACATACATATGAGAAAAGATAGAAGGCACAAGACATAGGCTAAACTGTACACGCAGCTGTGCAACATACTCTGAAAATGAACTACATGGATAAAAAGTAATAATCAGATAAATAGGAGAAACAAAAGTATATAAATACTATAAACTTTTATGGATAACATTGCTTTATACAGAAAATAATACAGTATTTATGAGCCTGTTACTCTTCCCTTCTCTTAATCAACAACTTCAGGCCAAAAAATCTGGAGAGCAGATTTCTAGGTCAGTGCATTGCTCTTGTAAAATAGTAGAGAATTGCAGGAAAAAACAATTCCTCAACCATGTGTTGTTGTGTAACCATCTTGTTGCGCACGTTGCTGTGACATGCAGATTATATAAAAATCTATTCTGATACACGTTTGTGACTTTTGTTGCCACCTTCCCCCCTTTTCCTCTCATGCAATCTTTTTCTTCCCCCTCACAGATCATCCATGAGCCCCCACCGCCGCCTGTGGAGGAGAGTTCGGTAGGAGCTGCTCCAGATCTGTTTCTTATGGCTCAAAAAAAGAGAGCTTATTATTTAGAATTCAGACAACTGCCAGTGTTTAGGTTGTGTAATTGTTCAAGTTTATTTGGAGATTTTAAACCTCAATGACCATGCGGCTTCATTCACTCGCCTCCTGGCATAAAACTCTGATTTCACTCATTTAGTAATTCATCAAATGCAGTGTGGGTTAACGCCCTCTTAGAATAACAATGAAATCCTGACTTTTACTGTTTTTTTTCCCTTTCCTGTTTTAAAGAGGACAATTTTTGTTTTCAAGACTTCAGTTCATCTTTTTCAAATCACTTCCTCTGGGGTTCTTTTTGATCTTCATGGAATATGATGTTAAATTAAACTCACTAATAACATGATTTCACATAGATTTGATCAACAAATGTATGTTATTAAAATACACTGTGATGGCCCAAAATCACATTCCAATAACAGCAAACAAACATGCGACTGTGGGACACATCAGACAGCATTTATTTGCACCAATTAAACTGGAAATTAGGTTTAATTGGTGAATTTATTCCAAAAACTGTCTCCAATGACAACTGTGGCCTCAAAGACAACTTTCAGCCTTCATTTTGGCTTCCTCTGTCTGACATCCTGGTAGATTATGAGTCAGACAGGGTGTATTAAAGAGCTCAAACATCACAAGTTTTGGCCAGTGGGCTTTGTAATTTCCTCTGATCTGACAACCAGCACAGAGGGGACAAAATAACTGTTGGGTTTGGAATGGGGAGGGCAGATAGAGAGGTATTTACTTGCCTGGTAACCAGTAAGAGGGCAATTGCAGTAGCTCCTATGTGTTCATTTGGTATGAATACATTTATATAAAGACAGGGAAAGGTGAATTTACCCTTTTTTTGTCTCTTATCTCGTTATCCTGATTCATAAACAATCACAATAAACAACCTAACTACTGTTACTCTCCCACAGGATGATGAAGACTTTGAAGCCCCTAAGAAAAAATGGCCAACTGTAGATGCCTCCTACTACGGAGGAAGAGGAGTTGGGGGAATTAAAAGGATGGAGGTGAGATCAAAGAAATCTCGGTTTTGTTAATTAAGGGGCTTGAAAGCAATCTGCTAAGATATTACAGGCTTAAAGGTTGGGAAAAAGGCCTCTCTAACTAAGGACATTTGATTGATTTAAGACGATAACACTTCCAGAAAGTTCAAATAACAGTTAAGCTTTCAATCAAACTCACTTTAATTGCAACTACACTGAAGCATCTCTATGAATTTCAGGTCTGACAGATTCACTGTTTCCTGACCATCTTCCTCCTCATTTACCAATGATGTAAAACATTTAAGTTAGTGTGTGGCACCTTCTTAAAACTCTCCATACTATTAGGTTCGCTGGGGTGAAAAAGGCTCCACTGAAGAAGGAGCAAAGCTGGAAAAGGCCAAAAATGCCAAAGTGAAGATGCCTGAGCAGGAGTATATGCCGCCACCCATGCGAGTTCTCAACAACGGCATGCACAAACCCCCGGGGCCCCGAAAGTGGTACTCACCCATCAAGGTATCAAACAAAAGCAGGCAGGAGGAAACTGTCAGGGGAATGTGTTCGGTCTGCAGATGCTCTTTCAAGTCTCATTGTTGAATAGTCCGTGAACAGCTACAAATATAAAGGAATTATGAGTTTCGACTGTCCAACGTACAACATAAGAAGTGGTGGAGGATTTGTGAGTTATTTGTTCAACAAGTGTGTGAATATAGCTGAGCTTACATTTAATTAATAAAAGCATTCATGATTGTTAAATGGCTCTGCTGGGACAAATGCTTTCTTCAGCTGTTAGCATGTGTACAGCAAGAAACAACATCTGTTACAAATTACTCCATGTTAATCTGGCTAAGGATATGTAACTAATAGCATTATTAAAATGTTGTAGTGAAAGTAGCATGAGATGTGTTAAGGTAATAATGCTTAGGTGACTACTGGCACACAGTCCCTTCCTCCAGGGCCAGCATGGGGTTAAAGGAGTCATTCCGAAGCCTTCCCAGTCAGCAGGGGATTGCTAATAGAAACCAGACTCCTGTTGGACTGACCTCCAGGGAGCAGGGCTGCACAGCCAGCAGTTTTGTGAAGAAAAACAGCTGCATTTTCTGCCCTTATCCTCCAAGTATTTGCTGTTTAAAAAGTATGAAGAGTCAGTTCACAATAAACTGAAACCACTTCAGTTTGTCACTGTGAAGAGGCTGTAGGAATTGGATAATACTTACTAGTCATTTAATTGCACCTTGAGTTAGTGTGGAACAGAACCAGAAGTTTTTGACAGTTGTTTTTCCCTAAAGAATAAATGTAATTTAAGATTATTGTATTGGTTTTTGATTTCTTCTCTGTTTCCACAGAGCAAACTGGATGCATTGTGGGTGCTTTTAAGAAAAGGCTACGACCGTGTGTCTGTAATGAGACCTCACCCAGGTGACAAGGTAAGAATAACTCTTAATGCCACAGGTTGGCATTAAACCATTAATAAGACTGTATTTTACCGACTCACGTAATGCCTTGGCTGTGCGTTAGCGTTTGGCAAAAGAAGAATTTTTTTGTATCTGAAAATGTTGAGAAAATGAACCAGCTGTAAGCACTGAAGTGTGCGCAGAGAGACTCATGGGAAAACTTGCGGTGAGTTGGGATTTAGACTGCAGTGTTTGGCTACAGTACACTGCGATGTAAAGCCGTCTGGGGAAGTCATTATAAAAAGGCAAATGTAATTCCTCAAAGGCCAGCTGTAGTGGGGGGATAACAGTGTGATGACCTCTACTGTTGGCAGCTGACATGTAGTCTGAGACTGTGGGATCTACAAGTGTTGAAAAAATTAGGAAGTCAAGTCTGAGGGAAGTTTGTATATAATAATCCCTCGCCTGCATTCCCTCAGTAAGAAATGGTAATCTAAGAGCAGCCATTAGCCTCAAAGTTAGAGAAGATCTTCAGAAATGTAAAAGTATATCTAAAAGTATTTAGCATATTTTTTAGTCAAGGTTACTTTACTGTTTTATGTAATTTAAAGTATAATAAGCCAGCTTTTATTGTGAATGTACAATCCAGAGAGTGATGTCTGCTGTTAAAAACAAGCCTTTGTATATAGTCTGAAGAAGAGCTGGTCCTATTATTTTTATAGTTAGTTTAAGTTATATCTATATATATATACCATAGTATAATATATAGCTGAAATGGGAGGATGAAACAATGCTCATGTGGCCATGACTGGGGGATGTCATCATCGTCAAGTGCTGCTGTTTCAACCCAAAGGAACGCAAGTAGAGAAAGAATAACAGGGGCCCAGTTTCCAGCAAGAAAATGTGATGTATTTGAAACTTGCTGTGAAGATACCAACTACAGTATGTCCGGCTGATATGTGATATGATGCAACAAGCTGCCGTGCAATCAAACAGTGTTGACAGTGTCTGATGGTTCATTTTAAAGCGTTTTATTGGACCAGCTGACATCACATCTGACTAACAGAAAATCAGATATTATACAGCCACAGTGCTTAAACACAATTATACACATACACACTACACACATGGATTCTACAAATATAGTATTATGAAGTATCTGGAGTGAAAGCAGTCTCAAATTCAGCCTATAAAATCTGGAATTGAGAATCAGAACAGGATTCAATCTGCTGTCAGGACATTTTGGGTTTTATTGCAGTCCAAAAGGAATGCATTGAGGAAGTTGCAGAGTAATGCGACTAAAGACTGATTAAACTTTCCCCAACAAGCAGACACAGTTATTGACATTAAAAGTATAAAACAGACGGAGCTGAGTTTAAGATACATTATTAAGCTCTGTTATCCACTGCTTTTAGACAGCATAAAAGCCTTTACGTTCAGTTGATCTCTACAGCAGTAGGTACATTTGGATAGCGCTGTGAAGGCTTTATGCACACTTTAGAAATGGTCAGTCTTTGTAAATGATGAATGAATTAAATGTTTTTGAAAAAGCTTCTCTCTCACCAAAACTTGTGAAGAAAATATCTTGCATGATTTTGTAGATTTAACTACAGATGTGCATATGGATATTAATCCAAACCTCTTATATTTGCACATTATGGTGCCCAGACTTTTAGTCTCTCCACAACCCAAAATGTGCATCACACCTTACATTAGGCACCTTCTCATTAGCATAAGTAAAAATTATATAGCCCTTATTGGCTGTGAATAACTTCCTTAGATTTACAAAATATTATACAAAGGACTGAATACATCTTAGATTTAATCCTGTAGAGATATTGACGTAGATATTTGCTTTTGTGACCAAAAAAACGTCATTGTCCGTCGTGTGGAGATGGAAATTTGTCTTGTTGTGGCTCACACAGGTATACATAGAATACAATTTCACTTTCTAAAAATGGACACCAACAGCACACATTTATTAGTGAGAGGAAGATTATTAGTAACAATAAGTTTACTCACATAACACAAGCAAAAAAAGACACTGAAAAGCAGAGACAGGAAGAGGATTTCAGAAAAACACAACAGTTTTGGGAGGTGAAGGAAGAAAGAAAGAGAGCTCACAGGACAAAGATTAAAAAGAGAAGGACCTGAATGCCTGTGTCCTTTTAGTGTCGTAGTAGAGAAGTAGAGAAGGATGACGAGGCCATGGGAGGAAGAAAAGAAGACTTAAAAAAATACATTTTGAAGCCTCTACTGTGCAGTAAAAAATAAGTCTCTAGTTCAGTGTGAGAGAGGACTTCCTCAAGACTTACTCATTCTGGGAGGTGAAGGAGAAAGGGAGCGCTCACCAAGACGAAGATAACTTGAAAAAGGAGGACATGAGCATCTTAAATGAGATCTTGTTGAAAAAAAATGAACTCCTCCCAGAGGAGAACAAGTTTCCACAGGAGCTGTCCATAAATCCAATGGTCTTGAAGGCAGAGCAGGAGAGCTTGGAGCAGGACACAGAAAGGAGATGAGAAGGAGAACTGACCAGTCCAAGGAGCAGGAGGAGGAAAAGGCATGTCCCAAGCCCTACTTAATGAACTTCAGCATGTTCAATCAATGATTAATGAACATAAGAACGAGTCTGAGTCCCAGAAGGATGAGGATGAACTTGGATAGCTGAAGACAAATTAAGGTTGTCTTGTTCTGTGCAACAACAACCTCATCAGGAAGATGAGGTCAGAGAAAGAAATGGCAGACATCCTCAATGCAACTACTGGGGACTTAAAATACAGATTCAAGAGAGAGAGAGAGAGACGCACAGCAAGTTTAATTGATCAAATGAAAAACACCATGTGAATAAGAAGAGGGGCTTGAAGAGCAGGGAGGACATAGTAAACACAGCAAGGGGGCAAAATAGATGGAAACTCAGGGGTGAGATTGCACTAATTTTTCATTCAGCAAATGTAGTTTAAGAATATATACTTTGTACTAAATTGGCTACAACAAGCAAAAATTGTAAGATAACAAGTTGAGAATTTGGCTATGGCATCTTTTCAGAATGACCAAATGTTTATTTGTCAACCAGTCAGCAAGGCCAGTTTATCTTGCATCCAGGGTATGTGTAGTGCAGTTACATACTGAGGAAATGCACTGGCACTCTATGCTCAGTTTATGTAGAGGAGCAAGGGAAACTAATTGGAAACCTATTGGAAAGTAATCAGCTTTGAAGGGAAGCAATCTTTAATATGGAGTAGCTCACCTTACTGCACTCAGTCAAACAATGTCAGAAAGTTACATTACTTGCTTTTACCCCCCCCCCACAGTAACCAACCAGTGTTGGGGTAGTTACTGAAAAAAAGTAATCCATTACACATTACTAGTTACTTTAAAAAAAAGTAACTAGTACTTACTTTACTTTGTTACTCGTTGCTTAAAGTAATTAGTTACACTACTAGTTCAATTACTTTTGGATTACTCCATGACATCACCTGAGATGCACCATACTTTAATTGCCAATTAACACTATGAAATTAAAATAGATGCCTAAATCAGCATGAAGCAATCAGCATCTTCTCTTCAGCATCACTCTCGGTCTGATCTTTAGCAGCCACTAGCTTCCTGCTAGCATGTTGCGGCTGCAGGTGCTTGGTCGGGTTAGAGGTTGTGTTGGCAGCCCCGGGCACAGCTTACATTTCACAGTCAAATTTTTTTTCTTTTCTTTCTACAAGTTCGAAGTAGTGGCCGAATTTCCATCTCTCAAATGATGATGTTTCCATTCTGTTGCCTCTACTCTCCTTCCTCGTCTTCTTCATCTTTCGCTCGTGTTCTGCTCCTGCTCGAGTCACGTCCAAAACGTTTTTGATTCGTAACTGTAATGTATTTACTGACGTTATCAACAGTAATGTGTTACATTACTGCGTTACAGACAAATGTAATCTGATTACTTTGTAACTCGTTACCCCAACACTGCAGCTAACACACTGCTCTGTAATTACAAGTGAGGCCTCCACACTATAAAGCTCTTCATTAGTGCACTGGAAACAAAGCTCAGCTCTAGTATCCTTCATGGTTTGCAGTAAACAAGCTTGTTCTGGTTGCAATTAAGAGTCTCTTGTCAAAGCCTTGCTTTTATAACTTCCCCTAAATGAATGCAGTGGTGGGAGGGGAGGAAGACCAGTTGATCCTCCTGCCTGCATGAGAGAAACTCAAGTCAGGTTCCTGTAACGTGTCATATATTTCTGAACCTCCAAAGACTGGTGTGTTCTTAGTAATTAGTAAAGGGAATCAAACACAGGACACAGCAGGTTAAAAACTCAACATCACACATCTTAAAACACTTAACTATCACATATATTTTCTTCAGTACTGACTGGTTTTTAGGTTAGCTGTAGCTACGTTACAGTGCAGGACTCCAGGAGACATTAAGTTGATATTCACTGTCCCTCAGGCACTAAAGGAATAAAAATATAGGTTGAGTTTTCTCTGTTGTGTGACATGCAACATCTTGCCTGGTTTTATCTCAGAGGTCATTTCACCCCTGCTGGTAAATGAGAGGCACAGAGCAGCGCTGTCATCCTTTATCAGTCCACAGCAACTCCCTGATCCCCTCAGTGCAGCTGCTCCCGGGGTGTAAGCTTGTTTCTGGAATACGATAGTCTCTGTTGCATGACCTCACTTTGGTTTGGACCGGGATAGAGTGGTGGCAGGTTATTTTGTCAAGCTAAGTGGAGCATGCACATAATTGCCTATAACTGAAGCTGTGATTGAGAATTGCAGCATATGTAGAGGTTTGCTGGCTCATGTAGGTGTGTGTGGACAATAGGCATGGCTTCTATAAGTGAGAGTCATAGTACCATCTGCTGTAGTCATCAGTCCATTTGATTTGTTAGAGAAAGCAGCGAGGGACATTTTTATATCTTAGACTAATTCAGCTGTCACAGCGGGGAAGTTGTGCGTTTTGTCAAAGAAGTAAGACTTTAGAATAGAAAAGTCATTTTCCAAGCTCCAGACTATAAAACAAATGCGTTTAACCAAAGAGGCATAATGAGAAACAAACACAGCAGTTGAAAAATATTATATTCATTACATACAGTTGTCATACAGAACATTTCAGCTTTGGTCGCTGTTTTTAAGCCTCGTTTTGTACGTTTGGTACAAAAAAAGACGGTTGTCTATCGCTGCTATGATACTGACAAAGTGTAGTAAAGGTTTATCAGTAAAAGTATAAAATATAATAGGTCACAAATATATGATATTGTTGGTTAAATAACTAAAATGGAGTGTAAAAAGAATTTAACCTACTTTTTTTTAACCTCCCATCTACTGGTAAAAAAAGATGTATCCTTTTTTTTAAGGAACAAAATAAATGAAAACTAAATCCATTTAACTGATCTGTTTATTACTTTACTAGCTCATTTGTTGTCTGTGAAGTTTCAATGGATTTATCTAGCAAGCTGTTAGCATTCGCCTGTCAGATTAAAAACCTTTAGCTCAGCAGTATGCTGTACTGTATGTGGTTTCTGCTAACAATCCCACAATGCAGTGTGCTGCGTTTTATTATTACTATTATTACAGGTTGTTGTTTATCATCGCCATACATTCCTCTAAAATCTGGTCTGTTTTCAAATTTCAGGGCAAATGCATGAACTTCACCCGCATGAAATCTCCCCCTCTTCAGTACCCGCACTACCACCAACCATCTCCCATCTACAACCCTCCACCTGCGCCACAGGGGACCCTCCCACCGACTCCCAGCACCGCTCCATCATCTCCATCGTTCTCCTCTCTCACCCTTCCACCGCTGCCTCCAACCCCTCCTCCTACCTCCACCACTCCCTCCCCTCCCATCACACCTCCCCCTTACACGCCACCTCCCAACCGGGCCCTGCCTCCGACCACCCTGCACATACCCGCCCCACCAGCGCTGCCACCCACCCCTCCGCCCTCTGTCTCCCCGACCGGTTCCCTTCCTCCTCCTCCTCCACAGGGACCCCCTCCTGGACGAGCCCCTCCACCTGCCCGCCCACCCCCTCGCCCGGGCCTGTAGACCTCTGGCAGCAGACGGGAGAGTTTTAATTTAAAAAGGCATCTCAGAGTCCCTACAACAATCAGCACATGACCACCCTTGATTGTACCTGCAAGCGACATGTGAGTGCCTTGTGCCACGCTTGGTGGGCTGTGGCCTTTCTGCCTTGTGAAGTGGAGCAGTGAGGCCTTGTTTCCAGCTATTTGTCTACAGTGACTTTTGTACACATTTAGCCCAACAGTGCAATTGCTTGGATGCTTGAATTACACAGACATTCCCTACAAATGAGGTCACGCAGGCCCAGCTCAAAAACATTTGACTCCATGGTCCGTTGAGCTGCTTCAGGGCCTGTTGTCCCCTCCATGAGCTCATAAGATTGGATGAATCCTGACCATGCAGAGGAACAACAGCTTGTACTAATGCCTCTGTACATTGGCCACAGTCATGGTTCAAAATGACACTAAAATCTGTGTCTGTGTAACATTTCTATCCTTCCTGGTAAGAGATAAAAGACTCATATTGCAAATGTTCCACACACAGCAGATTTAGAAGAATCGGAAAATCCCTGATTTTGTACTCTTGAATGTTGAGCAATTGCATGCAATAATGTTTGAGTCAGCATTTTTTTTACTTTTTTATAACGTTTCTACCTTGTTTTATACAACATAAACACATTTTTTATTTGTACTTTTAGCGCTGAGTAGACCACATTTTCTGAGTTTTCTTTTTTTTTCATCATTGCTGATAAACACATGTACAGTAAGCATATTGAAACAGCGATGCAACGTATCAGAACTTTTGACTTCTATGCCGTATTAAACCAGCCTAATGTGAGTCATTACTGGCCTATTTTTTGTGCACATCAGAGTAAACAATAAATTGGGATTTAGACACCAAATTAGCCCCATTACTTCAACTGACCTGACCGAGATGACCAAGATGATATCCGGCTATCAATATGTGGACAGAAAATATGTCAGTCAGGGAAAAGCTTTGCACATCGTCTTACTCATCCGCCCACGGCCTCTAGCAATATGTGTAAACAATCATTTTGATATAACCATGTGTGTTCAGATATCTGTGTGTGTGCGTGTGTGTGTCAGAAAGACAGAGAGACTAACCTACTATATGTATTTGTGACAGCCAGTCCCACAGTGACCAGAGTCCGTATGCCAGTTTTATCAAATTATTTTTGCACAAGGTCCTTTCACAGCATGGGACATGATAAAAGAATTCTGTTTCAGGGGTCAAATAAAGTTCAGTGTAGTGTAAATAAATGGTTAATATGCAGCTGTTCTTTGATGGTGATCAGAGAAGTGTCTGCAGAATGCAGATTACAAGCTCATCTTCAATCAGAAAGGGTCTTTCACTCAAAGGGTCTCATGTAAATGTCATGGCATATCTGAAAAGACTGTATGTAACTTTCCACCAATACAGTATGTAGACATCTGTTTGTTTCATTCAAAATGAAATGATTTAAGTGTATTAAATTGAAATGTCTTTCTGTATTTTTCTTCAAATACAATTACTGACCTGTAAACCATTGTAATTTCCTTACTGACAATGTCACAGCCACTGAGCCACACTTTGCTCTCAGACTTGAATGAGTTTCCTCAAGTCACTTTTTAATCACACAGTGCTCCTCCTCTTCTGCGCCATGCCTTTTATTCTACAGCATGTTAAGATAAAACAATATTTTGTAACACTCTAACTGAAGGTACATTTATTTATTCTGTTAGAAAACTGACAATGGGATGATCGGGTTCACACAGTGGAGAGTGGCTGTTTGCAAAAAGCACAGAGGACCTCACTCACTCCCTATGATGGAAAAAAAAAAAGAGTATGCAGAGCATGGCTAACTAATTCCAGATGTTCATATGTTGCATTATGTCACATGCACGAATGGAGTGAGCTATCTTGGAAAATATTAGACACCATCTAATCCTCAGGAAATGTGGACAGGCTGCAGTAAAGGTGTGCCAGTGCCAAGTGGTCGTGACATAAATTGGGGACACAGGACGGGGTGAAATAATGAGCTGTGACTCTGATTAAGATTTTCTTTTGTCCTTTAAAGTTGACAGTAAGCAAGCACATTTTATATTAGGCTGTTTTCAGTGAGTTTTCCATGTCAGACAAGCTCAATGCAAGATGTCTTGAGTCTGTTGCCAGCTTTTGTTTCCACTCTGTCTAAACCACTACAGCACAGATGTCTATCATATACATATATAAACATTGCATCACACATTAGAACCATTACACAGACGTCTTGCTGTAGTGTTGCGCTGGCTGCTGTCTCCTTACGGATCATTTTTTTGGGAAGAATGTGGGTGGAGTTCTTCATAACTATGAACCCTAAACCTTCATTTAGAGACTGACTAGTTTATAGAAAGGATCTTCTCCATTGTCAGCACTAAGTGAGACCAGCTTCGTGTTAAACCAGCATTCACTCGTGTCTGGTCAACATAGAGCTTGTGTGGTAGATCAGATTATCAAAAGTCAGTTATGTGCGTTCTTTAGGTTGTGCAATGGCATTCTGTATTCAAATAGAAATCAATGTGCTTATCCATGTATTCAAATTATTGTCTTTATCAAACATCAACAACCTCAAGACAGAGGTATTATTGCAATCTCATGATGCTGTCGGTTTCACAGCACAAACAACATTTAATAAATACCAGTACTGTTAGCTGAAAGCTTAGTTGCATTAATTGAGCTGGTGATGTCAAAGAGTACACTACTTGTAAGAGTAAATAAACAACACCCGATATACTGTACCTCATATAAAAAGCTGCACTTCCTTAGAGGCTGTTAGACTGCTGTTCAAGGTAGATTTGATCAGCTAATTGAAAAAGTATCTTTAAGAGGTAGGATGCTCCGATATTTACTTTGGTAAATTATTTCTGTTTTTCTGTCAATAGATGAATGTATTTTTCATTAGTTGTCTCCAACTTTGTTAAGCTAATATAACATCAGATGTTATAATTCCTGACATGATAAGATGACCATATAATACTGAGATCTCTATAGACCCACACAGGACAATCTATTCATTTCAACAGCATTTTGTATATCCACAGAAATACAAAATATCTTGAATTAAAAGTGTCTTGAGCTAAAAAGAAGTTTGCCTTCATGATAAAACTATTTAGAAAGACCTGCCAGTAACACTGGGACAGACTGATACCACAGGTTTACTGGACAAAATGCGTCGAAAATAAGGAAGAAACACAACACATTTCTCCTCTCACAGGCCATTCTGACACATTGGCTCGTTATGGGATGAAAAGCACAGGTGTAGTTCGTAACATTAAAATGTCTGTGAACTGGAGCCATTGTTAGGGTTATTTGTTACACCTATTTCCCTCTTCCTGTGACCAGTGAAAATATCAAGAATCACTTCACTATAGGTCATAATCAGTGTTGTTTTTACTCAAAAAATTTATTTTATTACTCATTATTCTTTTAAAAGTAATATAATTACTTTTCTTATTACTCCCTGCCAACAGTAATACATTACACTACTAGTCATATTACTTTTCTGCTACTCCCCATAACATTGGTGATTGTGTCCCTCCCCCAAAATTCCAACAAACAAAATCCAGTTTTGTTTGTTAAAATCAAAGTAATGGAGTATTTCCAGCTCATGAAGCGTTCCCATCTTCCAAACTAGTTTCCTCCACAATTACAAAAAAAAATCCAAGGTTGTGATTGCATTGTTGGATTTCAAATCAGAAGAGCATGACAACAAAAGCAAGGTTGCAACTAATGATTTTTTGGAGGAGTAACTAATATTATTACTGAAATGTATTAGTAACAAGTTACACTACTAGTTACTGTGGAAATTTAATATTATTACTGTAATATCTTTACTAGTAATAAGTTACTGCCCAACAGTGCTCAAGATTTAATTGGCAAAACAAATCAATTAAGGTCACAGTGGAGACAGCACCTGCTAATAGTTACTCAATCCCAATAAAGCAGCTGTGGTTGATTTGGACACAGTGGTGAAGGACTTGGCTGCTGCACAGAGGAGTTTACCTGAAAAGCTGCAGATGATGCTCTTTCTAAAAGAAAATCTACCCACTGCCGTTGGAGAATGGAGACAGCCTTTGTACAAAGCTTATGCTGTCTTCTGTAATAACTCTGCAGCTGCCCTTGAAGCCATCGTTGTGGTTAGTCAGTGCAATGAAATCCTTCTGAGAATTGCCCTTGCTTTCACCAACAGTTTAGCTTTCTACCTTTCAGCCATGCTGAGGCTGAATGCATTCCTCAGGATAGCACTGGCAGGTGTGCTCTTCTCACGAGAGGAGCTGGACCCACATGGACACTCGAGCTGCTCCACCTGGCATTCATCACAGACCTCCAGAAACAACAGCTGCTGTCCTGTGTGCTGTGGAGGAGGGAGAACTGCGAGGTGGTTGAAGCCGGTGCTGCATGCTGTGCCTGCTCTCTGCCGGTGTTCACTGTCTGTTTGTGTGACCCTCACCCATGTGGCATTATCAGCCCTGTCGACTCTGTGCAGTGACTTCAGACCCAGTGTTTCCACCATTATGACTGTATGTGGATGCATTAGATCACTGCTGTCCACCTTGCAGACCGTGACCGTTTACTCTTCACAGGTACTCGGAATCATTTGGGATCTTTCGTCACTCATAAGCAGCCCCTGAATGCCTCCTGTGACTTAACTCTTTGTATATAATGTACAGAAAACATGAAACTAACCAAAAAATGTTTTGTAAACTTTTAATATCATTCCAAATGTAAGTCTATGACTGGATTTTTATTATATTTTAATAAAATAATTGTGAAATATTTGCTGACTTATCTAATCAAGCACAATATTTGGCATCATTGTCAGAATGTGTGGAACAAGCATGTAGGCCCTGAACTGCACCTTTTCATCAAATGAGCTCTGACACTTAAAAAGGGAAGTACTTGACACTTTATTGCATCAGTTCCACTAATAAATAGTGCCCCCCCCACTCCCTCAGTAACCCAACAGATGTTACAAGGACTCAGTGCAGCTTCCTTTGTAAATGCCTCTAGTCCAAAAAAAATCTAAATCTGCTCATGTGGGTAACAAAAGTACCTGTAACAACAAAGTCCAGTTTTTAAACCCATTCACTGCCTAAGGAAAAGAAATGCAAAAAATTGACTTAAGGCTTGATTGCAAAAGCAAGATAAATAGCTTTTAAACCTAAAATATGTGATGGAATTTAAAAAACAAACAAACAAGCAGCTCCTATTTCTTCACTACACAACTGGGTGTGTACAACATCTCCCTTTCCTTGGCTTTTGGAGCAGACAATTGGGATCTCATACACACAGCTGGCATCTGACGTTCTAAATAAACATCTACAGTCCGACATACTGCCATAAAACTGTATATACCCTCTTTAGGCCTCAAAAAAAATGTTCATAGCACAGAATCTACCAGCATCAGTACGTGTTTGGCTACAAAAACAATATAGGATGAACATATAAAATATGTTTTGGTTTACAACTGCCAAAGCCATTGTAGAGATTTTTGGTTTGACAGGACATTTCAAATGACAGTAACATTCACATTTTAATTCAGAGAGTGACTTCAATAATATAAAATTTTTTTTTTTTTTTTTAAAGAAATAGAAAATAAATGTAACAAGAGAAAGACTATTTTGCTTCAAATGGTCCCAATATTGCAGAAGTCGTGGTGGCCAGGCGCGGGCTGGCAACTGGGTACAGCTTCTACTTGAGGTTAGTAACTATCTCACATAAATTACTTCAGTTTCTAGTGTAAATATAACTGGAGGCCTCAAAGCAGCAATAAGGTCCCCCCCTTTTGAGCAACGAGGCAACAGATATTAACAAAAGAACACAAAATTGTGCACAAATAGCTTTAGAAGCAAATAAGCAGAAACAGTGTATGGTAACATAGGCATATTCTCATTGAGACCAGAGTTTGAAATCCAAAACAATAGGTCTATACCGTAACAAGCTTTTGTAACCTACTCAAGAATATTTTTACACAGTAGTGTATTCACAGGCTTTTTTCTGTGATCTACAAGTGATGCTGCTCCTGCTGTAAGTTGTGTCCTCAGAGGAAAGTCAAAGAGAGAATCTGAGTCAAATTTGGCACAGTGTGCTGCAATTATAAAGCGCTGACCTGTGGCTTGGAATGATTTAAGACTGTCATTTACTTCAACTGTGGAGTAAAGACACTTCAAATGATTAGCTGCCAAAGAAAAATATCCCAACTAAACTACAAATCATTGCACAGAAGAAAAAAAGAGCCAGTAAGGTCTATAAAAGCTAACTTCTGTCAGTCAACAGCTTTAACGTCAGCTCCGAGAAGCTCCCAGCGAGACTAATCGGCACAAATATACACGGAGGGCTTACTCACAAGTTGAGCACAAATGTGAATGAACCCAAACGGTCAACGTCAGTCGCTACAGCTTCACAGACCCAGAGTACTGAAGATATGTCAGTGCCAGCCCAGACCTTGCCACCAAAACAACTCCTCTAATAATAATAATAATAATACTAAAACTACTAACAATA